CCTCTGCCTTCCAAGTAACTGGGTAGGAAACAGTTCCAGCCCAGGAATCACATCAATTTTTGCATGTTTGAGCGCCTGTAAAGAACGTAGCATGGCATGTGGTTAGATTGTGGCTCCCAACCCAGGAAGGCTTATAGTCATTTAATTCCCCACCTCCTGGTATTGCCTTACTAATACTGTAACTCTGGGAAGTTGGTTACCTTCTCTGAGCTTCAGTTATCTGTAATATGGAGACGGTAATACCCATTTTATAAGCAGTTAATGAGATAATGTAGGTAAAGTGCCTAGCACTCTGCCTGGCATATAAATTCCAGAAATGGTGCTTAAGCTCATCCATCCCCAACAAAATTAAGAATGATGTAAATTTTATACAGAAGGCTGAGAGACATATGAAAGTCACTAATCATCTGAAAAATGCAAATCAAGACAACAGTGAGGTACCATTTCACACCTGTCAGAATGGCTATCATCAATAAATCAACAAAGGACAAGTGCTGGCGAGGATGTGGAGATAAAGGAACACTCATGCACTGCTGGTGGGAATGCAAATTGGTGCAGCCACTATGGAAGACAGTATGGAGTTTCCTCAAAAAGTTAAAAATGGAACTCCCATTTGACCCAGTGATCCCACTTCTAGGACTATATCCCAAGAAACCAGAAACACCAGTCAGAAAGGATGTATGCAACCCTATGTTTATAGCAGCACAATTTACAATAGCTAAGATTTAGAAACAACCTAAGTGCTCATCAGCAGATGAGTGGATTAGAAAACTGTGGTACATCTTCACAATGGAATACTACGCCGCTGTAAAAAGAAAAAGGAACTCTTACCATTTGCAACAGCATGGATGGAACTGGAGAGCATTTTGCTAAGCGAAATAAGCCAGTCAGAGAAAGATAAATATCACATGATCTCACTCATATGTAGGATATAATGATCAACATAATTTGATGAACAAGAATGGATCCAGAGACAAATGGCGTGGTGGTGGTGGTGGGGGTTTAGAGAGCAACCAAAGGACTTATATGCATGCATACTAGCATAACCAATGGGCACAGACACTGGGGCGGTGGGGGCTTGCCCAGGGTAGGAATGGCTTGTGTGTGTGTGTGGGGGGGGGGGCGGAATCAGGGGAAAAATGAGACATATGTAAAACTTTAGACAATAAAAAAAAATCTACACTGAAGAGGAAGGCAAAGAAAAGAAAAAAAAAAGAATTATATAAATTTTGATTATAGAAAGAGGAGGCTAAATTCCCACATCATCCGTGAAAACCTGGCTCAAGATTTGAGGGTCTGTTCTTACCGAGGCACTAGTCGGACAGTGGAGGTGCATACAGCTGGCGGCAGATAGCTGTTTGAATCCTGGCTCTGTGAATTCACTTGCCTGTTTCTGGAAAACCCCACCACGTGAGCCCTAAGTGTTGTGAGGGAGCCCTTAGGAATGCAGAAGTCAAGTTAACTATAGCATGGTAATGAACTTAGCAGAAACCAGCCAGGTTTGGGCTCCTCCTGTTCGTTCCATTTGAGTCTAGCAGCCCCAGTTAATGGGTCCACGTGACTTTGGATTTCTGTAGACAAGACTGTCACTGATTGACATTATAAAGCCTCAAATAGGTCATTTTCTCCTTGACTCTTCTGGTCACCTTATCCTTTCTCGTCCCATCCAGTGTTTCAGCCAATGTTGAATAGTGCCGGACGGGGGGCTGAGAGCTGACTCAGTTAGTTGCCTGGCGCCTGGCCCACACCCCCAAGGAGCTCCCTTCCCCATGAGAAAAATCTCACACAAGCAAACAGTTTTGATGTTGACCTCCTGAAGAGGCAGAGTAACGCAGGGTATGGGGGTCAGGGATTGGAGGAGAGCAAAGTTCAGTGCAAACCCTGTTTCTGCGAATTTCTAGCTGTGTGACCTTGCACAAGTTTTTAAATCTCTCTGAGCCACGGTTTCCTCATTGGTAATCTAGGGATGATAATAGTACCTACTTTTTAGAGTTGTTGGGAAGGTTGAATAAGAGCCTGTATGTATGTACAGTGTCTGGCATATATGTGTTCAATAAGTATTTGCTTTTTAAAAAGTTCTCTATAAAGAATAAACTCAAAGTGGATTAAAGACTTAAATGTAAAACTCAAAACCATAAAACTCCTAGAAGAAATCATAGGCAGTAAAATCTCGGACATTTCTCGTAGCAATATATTTCTGACATATCTGCTGGGGAAAGGGAAACAAACGAAAAATAAACAACTGGGACTACATCATAGCAAAGGAAACCATCAACAAAACAAAAAGACAGCCTGCTGAATAGGAGAAGATAATCGCCAATGGTACATTGATAAGAGGCTAATACCCAAAATTTATAAAGAACTCATACCATTTGCCTGGCCAGCATGGCTCAGTGGTTGAGTGTTGACCTATGAACCAGGTCACAGTTTGATTTCCCCTGGTTGGGGCACATGCCCAGGTTGCAGGCCCGATCCCCAGTGGGGGTTGGGGGGAGGGTGGGGGGCGGTATGCAGGAGGCAGCCATTTGATGATTTTCTCTCATCATTGATGTTTCTATCTCTTCCTCTCCCTTCCTCTCTGAAATCAATAAAAATATAGTTTATTAAAAAAACAACAACGTCATACAGTTCATACCGAAAAACCAAACAATGCAATTAAAACGTGAGCAGAGGACCTGAATAGACACTTCTCCAAAGAGGGCTTATAGATGGTCAATAGACATATGAAAAGATGCTCCACCTCACCAATCATCAGAGAAATGCAAATTAAAACCGCAATGCGATATTACCTCACACCTGTCAGAATGGCTGTCATCAGTGAAGCAACAAGCAACAAGAGTTGGCGAGGATGTGGAGAAAAGGAAGCCCTTAGTCACCATTGATGGGAATGTAGATTGGTGCAGCCACTGTGGAAAACAATGGAGGTTCCTCAAAACATTAAACATGGAACTGCCTTATGACCCAGTGATTCCACTTCTGGGGATATATTTGAAGAAACCCAAAATACTAATTTGAAAGAATAATGCATACCTATGTTCACTGCAGCATTATTTACAATAGCCAAGATATGGAAAGTAACCCAAATGCCTATCAATGGAGGAGTGGGTAAAAAAGTGATACAAATGTACAATTGAATTGCTTGACCATGAGAAAGAATGAAATCTTACCATTTGGGACAGCATGGATGGACCTAGAAGGTATTATGCTAAGTGAAATAAGTCAGAGAAAGACAAATACCATGTGATTTCACTTAAATGTGGAATCTAAAGAACAAAAACAAACAAACAAAGCAGACTCATAAACACAGAGAATTACCAGAGGGGAGGGGGGTTGGTGAGACTGGTGAAAAAGATGAAAAGAAGTACAATTTGGTAGTTGGAAAATAGTCATGGTGACATAAAGTATGGCAGAGGGAATATAATCAATAATATTGTAGTAGCTATGCATGGTACCAGGTGGGTACTTGAAATATCGGGGATCACTATAAAGCATATGATGGTTTAACCACTGTGGGGTACACCCAAAACTCATACAAAATAATACTGCTTGTAAACTGTAGTTGGAAAATAAAATAAGTTATCTATAATAGAAGTTCAAACAAACCCTTTGGGAGCCCTGCAAGGTGAGCAACAAATATCTTCTGGGAAGGTCAGGAAAGGCTAACTCTGCCTGGAAGCAGAAATCTGTGAACTGCTATTTTCTGGCCATGGGTAAATTTCCAGGGTCTGAGGGAGGTTTTATTTATCTTGTCTGGGCATCTTCATTTGCAGTGCACATTCCACCAGCCTCCTAAATCCTTCCCAGTTTGGGGAAAAGAGCAGCAAAGGGCCCTCATGAAAGCAGTTACTAAATTGTGTGACCTTGGGCAAGTCACCCACCCTCGTGGGAGATAAAATTCCTGTATCAGCCAAATGGAGATCATAATACTCGCTACCTGACACACTTGCTGTGGGATTAGGAAAGACCTTGCCTATGAAACAAGTAGCAGAGTGCCTGGCCCAGAGTAAGTGCCCATTTCAAATGTAGCTACAGTGGGGCCTTGACTTACGAGTGTCCCGACTAATGAGTTTTTTGAGATACCAGCTGTCTCTCAGCCGATTTTTTGCATTGAGTTGACAGAGTAATTGGAGTTAAGGAGCTCCTTAACGAGCTCGGTCTCAAATTAAACTCGTAAGTCAAGGCCCCACTGTATTACTGTTATCATGAGCTGAGTGAGACGCAAGGCTGCTTTGAATAGCCGCATTTTAGAGAAGAGCACTGGGAAGGAAATTTCTGCATCTCTCGCCTACCCTGGTCGGCGCTCGCTTCAAGCAGCTTGTGTACAGATCAAAGCATCTGTGTGTTCACACGCTGAGCAGATCCAGGCCTCTTGGATCTGCAGCAAGAAAAAGGGCTTTCTGCCTGACCCTCACCCTTCCCCAAGGCCGATTCTTTTTAAAATTAAAAAACCCACAATATATAGAAATGCATGCGCACATGCTATTTATTTATTTTTGGCGAACGTTACATTGAGGTTCTGACCGAAACTCGGCCTGCGCACACTTGAAAAGCCTCCAGGGTCGTTGGGCAGTGAATGCAGGTCTCGGGATTTCCCCGCGGGGCTGCGGAGAGTACAGACAGGAAGCCTGGGACCCAGCGCCTGACCAGAACTTCCTCGGGGGAGGCTGGAGCCCAGCTCGGGCATCCTGCCCAGAGCTCGCCAGAGCGCGCGGGCCCGCGCAGACCTGTGCTCCCGGGGGCGCCCTGGGGAGGGTCCCTGGTCCGACCCCTGTGTCCGCACCCGGCCGGCAGCCGGAGGGGGTGGGAGGCCTCCCCCAGGGAGACGCTGACACACTGTCAGGCTGGGACCTTCTATTCCGGTCCAGCCTCTCCCCTCCCCCTGCCCTCCCCGCCCCCTCGGTGCGCCCAGGAGGGAATTCAGAAGGGACTTTCCAGAGAGCGTTTGCGGGCAGGGTGTGGAAATGGAATAAAAGCGTATGCAAATAGGCCTTCGAGTGCCTTCCTCCGCCCCGTCGAGCTAGAGCCTGTCTCCAGAAGGATGCTCTTGCTCCAGACTCTTGACTGCTCTCCTTCCCTGGACGGCACCGCGGGCGGAGTGCGGTGGTAAAACCCAAAACCCGGGCAGGGAGCCATGCCAACGGGGTGGGCTGGATGGGCAGGAGGACGTAGCAGAACGAGGAGGGGAGGACTGCTGAGGCATTGGGAAAGACGAAGTAAAATGAAATGTTAGCAGCTCGCTGTGCGCATGAGCTGGGAAAAATAATCACTGCCGGCTGATTTATGATGCACTTATCGGAGAGGCAGCAGGCTTTTGTACAGCGGATTATTGCCGAGCAAATGGCACATTAAAGATATAGTCAAGATGTTTAAGGTGTATGAGTGAGTGAGAGTTAAAGGAGGTGAGAGGCTTGCCATGGGCTATACCTATAACAGTGTCAGTGGGTTGGAGATATTTTTAGTGCCTTAGTGGAGACCTGGCTCCATTTCCAAAAGGGAAATATTTTCAATCTCTTGTTATTTTCAGGGTGGGGCAGGGTGTGGCCAGGAAGTAGTGTAGAACATATACTGATGATAAAATAATATGCTTTAAACCCTGGAGTTGTAGGCTGTGGCCTCTATTTAGCCAGTCGTAAACATTTTGCAGTGATGAGAGTATGAAAATATTGCACAGGACATATGGTGTAATCTGGGGGCTAGGGGTTGGGGATTATGGCTATTGTGTTTCTATTCTTGATCTCATCCAATCTTGTCTTTAAATATATGAGTTTTGTTGGTTTCTTTTGAAAATACCACCCCCCCTTTTGTTTTTTTTACAAACTGAACTTGATTTGTATATCCATTGGGCAATAGCATAGCTTTTCTTTCTTGAAGACTTAATTATTGAATTTTCTTGTCATTCGGGGATATTCATGTTCTATATCCATTATTTCATTGGCCCGCTGGGGGTTGGGGGGGGTGTTCCAGTGGGTTTTGCCCCAAACCATTCCAATTGCAGCTCCTGCTGATATTTGTCTCCAGTTGCTAACAATGGCTTTGAGAACAGAATGGGTTTCTCTTCAGGTGTTTGTTTTCAATAAAAATCTCCTTGCTGTCCTGATGCATAGCACGCCTCAGAACAGATAAACAACAGGACGTCAGCTCACAGAGGGAGAAGAAGGTAGAAACCTTGGCTTGGGGTTTGCTGGGAGGGTTTGCAGCAGCCTGGATCCTTAGCGTGGGGTGGGTGCCGAGTCTTCTCTTCAGGAGCCACCAGGCCGGGCATGGGAGGGGGCACTTGGTCATCTTCTTCTGTCTGAATTCCCATCACTTCACTTTCTCCATGGGCCCTGTGGACACCCAGGGTTCTCTTCTCAGTGTAACCTTAGGGCTAAATCTATAGCATATACGTTTTCTTGGGTGTGGTCCCTACAAACCAGCCTTTAGGCCCTTTTTGAGTTCAAATGGTGGTTTTTCCTCTAGTTGTTCTATTTTCTGGCAAAATTTTCCTTATTTTGGTCTTGGCCTCAGTCTTAACAACTAGTCTTTTTTTTTTTTTTTTTAAACAATAACTAATGAAGTCTTTATACTGTGATTTATAGTTTTCAAGGCATTTTCATGGGCCATTTCATGTAATTCTTCCATAAAATTTGTGAGGCTTTTAGAGACTGTAGATTTGGCACATAATGGGAGCTTATTAAAAAGTTGTTGAATGAATAAATTATACCCATTTTACTGCTAAGGAAATTGAGATTCAAAGAGGTCAAGCGGCCTACCCAAGGCCGCACTGCCCAGGTGGGACTCAAACTCAGGTCTTCTGACTTTTTCCACTCTAGACCGGCTCTGATATAGTGCTTTACATGGCTTTGGCTATCCTTCTCAAGGAAAGTGTCTTTGATTCCATAAAAAGAGATACTACGAGCATGCAACCAGGTGGCTATGCTATCAAATGGGTGGCAGAGAGCATTGCCTAGCCCTTCCTATAGATTTTTCTTAGGTTCCTTACTCTACAAGAAATGTATATTCTTAGGACATGACTATTTGGATACATTCCTTATTGGAGATAGAAACGCAAGGTCATGCTGAAAAAAAATAAAACAGGCTATCCTAATTCCTTTTAAAAATCCTCACCTGAGGATATTTTCCCATTGATTTTTAGAGAGTGGAAGAGAGAGGGAAAGACAGAAATATCGATGTGAGAGAAACGTACCAATTGGTTGCCTCCTGCATGTGCTCCGGACCAGGGCCCATGGTCCAGGGCCCAGGGCCGGGGAGGAGCCTGCAGCCGAGGTATGTGTCCTTGGCCAGAATTGAACCTGGGATCCTTCGGTCCTCAGGCCAACGTCTGTCCACTGAGCCAAACTGGCTAGGACTTGAATTTTTAATATTCCTTGGAGGTTTGGCCATAAAACTACATACATCTCTAGGGAAGCTAAATACCAGAGTTTTGGGTGTGGTGCTGAAAATTTTTCTCTAGCTCTGTCTCTTGAGGTACCAGAGAGAGCCACACCGTACCACCGTTTTGACAGAGGATGGGTGGCTGGTGTGCAGGGACCAGCAGCTGCCTGGCCGGCAATAGCTGCTCCCAGCTGCTCCCAATGCTGGAGGAAATGTCACCCAGGTCAGCTCAGATATGAAAATCACAAGAAAAGAGCCCCTTGTTCTTCCGGCCAAGACTAGGCTCCAGGGCTGTACCGAGGAACCAATAACAGCATTCCCTCTGCCTGCCAGAGACTTCCTCAACCTGCCACACCAGAAACAGCGGGGAGGAAGGAGGATTTCCCTCCTAAATCTAAAGCTCATTAGAGAGGGCTGCCAATGGGACTCGGCCCAAGGGCCCTTCCCTTTGACTTCTGTAATCTGAGAGTCAGAGAGTCGGAGCTTTGGTTGGGAGATTTCTCCAGAGGAAAGCTGCACAAACAATTCTGATTATTTCCTTCCTGACCCGATGCTCCTTCCCTCTTCCAAATGCAATCGTCTCGCCACCAACGTGGTCTCAGACCTGCCAGTCTTTCCCTTCCTGGCTTTTGTGCCTTGTTGAGAAAGGCCTTTCCCCAGTGAAGGTTATAAAGATCGTTTCTTAAATTTACTTATGAAACTTCTGTAGTTTTACTTGTTATCACATTGTTTGCAGTTAGTCCTTTCATTCACCTGAAGTTGTATTTTTTATGTGGTGCGAGGCAGATGTTATAATTTTTTTTACTCAACAGATGCCAGTCTTTCCCTCTGCTATTTTTAAAAACAAGCTTTTAATTTCAGGCTAGTTTTAAAAATATGTTTTTATTGTGTGTGTGTGGTTTTTTTTTGTTTTGTTTTGTTTTTTAGAGAGAGAAGAAGGGAGAGGGAGAGAGAGAAATATCAATGTGAGAGAGTAACATTGACTGGTTGCCTCTCTTATGTACCTTGACCAGGGATCTAGCCCACAACCCAGGCATGTGCCCTGATAGGGAACTGAATCGGCGACCCTTCGGTGCATGGGACGAAGGATGCTCAACCAACTGAGCCACACCGGCCAGGGCCAAGCTAGCTTTAGACTTATAGAAGAGTTGCACAGGTAGTACAGAGGGATCCTGTATCCCCCTCTCAGCTGCTTTATGATTTGGAAGGATAACTTCGCATGGCCCTATAGTCCCACTTATACACAGATGTCTCTCTGGAATCACACTTCTCTTCTACCCATGGATTTGCTATTGTTGCCCCACTGTCATGTGTTTAATTGATTTTATTTAGGCCTCACAGGGCTTTTCAGAGGTCCCATCCTGACTTCAGGCAAGTAAAACATTATTAACCTTGTTTACGGGTATTGCTGCTGCTGAGGTGACTGGCCAAGAAGGGGCACAGGTATTGCTCCAGTTCATAGGGACGGAGGTCAGCATTGGTGACCTGCCTCTCATACAGAATGCCTATCTCTGAGCACAAGCTTTGGACACAATGGCAAGGACGAGGCTCTGGAGTAGACTCTCTCTTCCCAGTGCTATTGAGCCTTTGGGACTGATTAATTCTTTGCTGTGGGACTGCCCTGTGCCGTTATAAGATGTTTAGTAGCATCCCTGGCCGCTACCCCCTAGATGCCATTAGCACTCCTGACAACTCATGACAATCAAAATGATCTGCAAACATTGCAAATATCTGCTGGGGGTCAACTCCCTTCCCCATTGAGCAACCCCCCACCCCCAACCTGCGATCTGGAGTCAAGCTACCTGAACGTGTCCCTGGCTCCACTGTTTAGTGGCTGTGTACCTCCATTTCCTCCTGTATAAAATGCAAATAAGGGTGTCTGTCTCCTAGGATGGTCCTGTTAAAGACCAAAATTCAGTTGAGTGGATTTGAAGATGTAATTGGCTTTATTAAGTGATTTGTGAATCGGGCAGCATCCCATCTAGCAACTAGACGGGTGCTCCAAGGGGTTGTACCAAATGGAAGGTCTTTGTAGGAGGAAGGGTGGGCAGGGGAATTATTAGCAAAAAAAAAGAGAAAGGTTTATCTTTAGTCCAGGTCATGTTCTTTTGGAGGGAAGGGAATGGCAGGGGTTTTATCTAGCAGGTTCCCTCACTAGTATGGATCAGGAAGATTCTGGACTGATTGCTTTAACATTCTACTCTAGGGAAAGGCTAAAACTGTAATTAGGTTAGTTATTAAGTCTTGTCTTGGTGAGGTGGCTTAGCAAAAGTGACTTCATTTTGGCCTGTTGTTTATTTTTATTTTATTTTTTTAAAATATGCTTTTATTGATTTCAGAGAGAGGAAGGGAGAGGGACAGAAAGAAACATCGATAAGAGAGAATCATTGATTGGCTGCCTCCTGCACACCTCCTACTGGGGCTCGAGCCTGAAACCTGGGCATGTGCCCTGACCGGGAATTGAACTGTGACCTCTTGGTTCATTGGTGGACACTAACAACCACTGAGCCACACCGGCTGCTGTCGTGTTTTTTTTTTGTTGTTTTTTTTTTTAACAGTCCTGAAGACCAAATGAGCAAATATACATGCACAAAACACTCAGAATAGACCCTGGTAGTTCAGACCTAGCTCAATTACTATTACTAATAGTAATAATAGCTATTACTATTATTTAAAAAATTCTTTAATTTGATATCACTCTTAATAAACACACAGACCTCCCATTTTTC